CTCTACTCCCAGCCCACCCTGTGCTGGGGATCCAGATGTATGCCACTGTGCCTGGCTTTGGCATGGGGACTGAGGATCTGAGTTCAGACACCCATGTTTGAGCAGAAAGCACTTTGTACACCAAGCCATCTCTATAGCCCTACCACACTGTGTTCGTGGGCCCAGCATATTGTGTATGCAATGCTACAGGCGATGCTGTGAGGACTTTGTACAGCGAGGCATATGGCATGTATGATGATTCCTCATCACACACGATCTGCCTTCATTCTGTGTATCTTAGGCTGGCTCTTTATCTTCTTCCTGGGCAAAAGGCCTATATGTTAGCAAACACGCTCAGAGTCAAGGTCAATAGGGAAGAATGGACTGACTTTAGGTACAAAGTAGACCAACTCCTTTAGGGGAAACTGAGGTCTAGACAAGAAATTTTGGGTTCTGAATTGTGGAAATAGCTAAATGTAACTGGGGATTGTTTTTAGGTGGAGATAAAGAACACAAACTTAATCATCTCTTTCACTTTTTTAATTTTTTACTTTTTTTTTTTTTTTTTTTTGCAAAAGAAGGCAAAAAAAAAAAATGTGCTTTGGGAGTTTTCAGTTTAACTCTCTCAATGTCTGCTTCCTCTGCTAGGCATCTCCTGGTCAGTAGCTGGACGTCAGAAGCAACATGCCGGAACAGAGCAACGACTACCGGGTGGCTGTGTTTGGAGCAGGTGGTGTTGGTAAGAGCTCCCTCGTTTTGAGGTTTGTGAAAGGGACCTTCAGGGAGAGCTACATCCCAACTGTGGAAGACACCTACCGGCAGGTGATCAGCTGTGACAAGAGCATTTGTACGCTGCAGATCACCGACACTACCGGGAGCCACCAGTTCCCGGCCATGCAGCGGCTGTCCATCTCCAAAGGCCACGCCTTCATCCTGGTCTACTCCATCACCAGCCGGCAGTCCCTGGAGGAGCTCAAGCCCATCTATGAGCAGATCTGCGAGATCAAGGGGGATGTGGAGAGCATCCCCATCATGCTGGTGGGTAACAAGTGCGATGAGAGCCCCAACCGCGAGGTCCAGAGCAGCGAGGCGGAGGCCCTAGCCCGCACATGGAAGTGCGCCTTCATGGAGACATCGGCCAAGCTCAATCACAATGTCAAGGAACTCTTTCAGGAACTACTTAACCTGGAGAAGCGCAGGACCGTGAGCCTCCAGATCGATGGCAAGAAGAGCAAGCAGCAGAAGAGGAAGGAGAAGCTCAAGGGCAAGTGCGTGGTCATGTGAGAGGCCTTCGTGCAGAAGGAGCTGACGCCCTAGGGCCTCTCTCTTCCTCCCCTCTGTGAACCCCACTGTCGTCAGGGCAGCATGTCCGATGCCCGTGTGTTAAACATTGCATTTGGCTGCGACACACCCTGCAATGTCCTTCAGAGGCATTCTACACACCCCACTAGCCCTACCCCTCAGGAGATGCGGAATCTGTGATGCTCTTAGCATCCCAGGAAGCCGAGGCCAATCCTGAGTGGGCTTTAGCCATTTGAAGATGAGGGGACTCAGAGCTGTGGACACAGGAGAAACTGGGAGTACTGTGCACGTGACAGCAGGTTAGCCCGTAGCTACTGGTACCACCCCACATCAGGCAACTTAGTTCAGAAGCCGCTAACATCTTTGTGGGAGGAGCAGGCGGTCGTAGGAGGGGAGAAACCAGTGGGTCCAACATGGACCTGTGGTCCACAGTGGTTCCCTTGAGTGGATTTTTAGTGAGACTAAAGATAAAATACCATAACCCCTAAGTGATGCTCATACTATTCCTTCTGACATACACTGAGGGCTTGCCCCTCTTCCTCAGAGCCTTCTTAGAAAGTACTGTGTCAGCCTGTTAGGAGTATACATTTCACATGTAATGCCAAGGCCCCTTGTGGTATGATGCTGTGTCAGTACTTCTTCAGTTTTTGAGTCAGGACATTGTGACATCATGTAAACATCGCAATAATGCTCCCGTGTGTGTGTGTGTGTGTGTGTGTGTGTGTGTGTGATACTTGGAGGGTTCTAGAAATGTGAACTTTATTTTGACCTTTGAGGGCTGCCACTTCTTCCAGTCCTCTGATTTTTAAATAAAAGGAAATAAAGTAGGCATTTTTTTAAAGACTCCCTCTTCCCCTCCCCCAAGATGGTTTTCTTGTCTTAAATAACTCAATGTGTACCCAGCTGGGAACCAGCCAACCAAGAGCGTCTAATAACCAGAAGCACATCCATTTTTCTAAACGGCACAGCGTGTAGACGCTGCGCGTGGCACCTTTAATGAAATACTTTGAAACAGACGTCGTTCACTGTGTTTTTAACGTTTTATCTACATCAGAAGTAGATTGCTAGAAAATACATCTAATTCATAGCAAATCTTCTCCTCGTTCCTTGCTAAATGTTTTTAAGAGTTCCTCAGTGCAGCGTGCACCCCAGAAGCAATCCTCTCCTAAGGATGCTAAGTGTACCCCGTATTCTTCAGAAGGAACCACAGCCACTGCTTGAGGGATCAGCGGCCACGGTGGCTGCAGATAGGTTGAGCTAGTCTCTCTTTCCTGGGCACAGTGCCCACGGCTTAGTGTAATTTGCCTGCCATCCTGGAGTCTGGCTAGATTTTGATTCTTGGAAATTGTTACTTCCACAGCCAATGAGAAGGCGCTCCTGTTTAACGCAGTAGGATAAACCCACGCTGGTCTTGGGTGCCAGCTCAACTACTCTCTAAGCCATCTTACCACTGACCAGCCAGCAGGTAGAGGAGGCTGGAGCACTGTGTGAACCTATACAGTACTCTCGTGGCCAGTGGGCAGAGGTCCCAATGCTGGGGTGTTTTGGTAGGCCTCTTTCTCCACCAATGCCTCCGAAGCACACTGTGTTCAAACCACCCTCACTTCCTTCAGACCTCTGTAATTCAGCCCCCTTGTCTGGACTGGCCCTCTTTACTCTGTCAATCATAACTCACCCTGGTGATGTGCTGAGGACCAGGGAGGTCCCTCAGAAAACCGTATGCTTTGGCGATCTTACCATCTCCTTAGACTTCTAGAACAAAACCCTTGGGGTTCCCTGGGCAAGCAGCCACACTGAGGAACTAGGAAGCCCAGGAACCAAGCAAGAGCCTGGAGCACTTGTGCCCCCTCCAAACCCACTCCAAGCCTCCTCCATCATCCCCGTTTGTTCCCCATGGCCATTCCCTATCACAGTGAGATGGAGTTGTTGGATTTTCTAGAACGTCCTTAATTTGTTGTTCCATTTCTCCTCTCAGAGAAAACATATCACCTTGTCATTTAGATTTGGGAACAGTGAAGGAAAGACCATGGCTCTGTGGATGATGTGTTACATACATCATATACACATCATATAGGATATATACATTTGTGGTGATCCCTTCGAAGTAAAATCCTGTCTGTCCTACTGACTGTAACCATGCTTCAGACATGCTTTTCTGTTCCCGGTGACTGCACATCAGGGTTTTTTCAGCCCTGTAAGTCAGTTTCCATATTCCTAAGAGTTTCAGTCTTCATTGACCTAAGGATCTTGCGGTAATTCCATTCACAGTCTTTGTTCCTCTGTGTGCTGCCTGTGAGTTTAGAGGGTGGGAGGGAGGTGGGTGAAGCCTCCCTCCTTGGGCTTCATTCTGACACTACATTCTGTAGATTGAGCTGTGCACTGGGTAGCTATCTTAACATCTCCTGCCTTTGGCACACTTCCCTCTGACTCAGGGGCTGAGGACACAGTGCTACTGGGCCAGTGACTTCCAGCTTTGCTTTGGTCTCATCTCAAGTCATGAGGCTGAAACTCTTGGAAACATTCTACATTGCATATGGGACTGGAAACTACTGACCCAGCCCCGGCTCATTATAAAACTTGAAATATTGCTTTGAAGATGGCACTCTGGGGTTAAGCATGGGTCTCCATGAGTTCCTTAATCCCCACTGGTCCCCTCTCCATTCAGTGACAAGCCATGGGCACGCATCCAATGCATCAAGTCCGACACAAGAGCAATATCCAATTGTCCACTAGATCTGAAAGTATATATATATATATATTATGTAATTTAGCTTCCTGCACTTTTGAAGTATAAAGTAGTAAATTGTACATATCTATCTCTGTATATCAATACGCTAGAATATCGGTTTCACTATTTGTAACGTTCTTTGTAGAAGAAAATGTACTAAATATTTTAAAATTGCGCTGTGAGGTTCCTCCCTACTCCAAGTTTGTAGCATGTTGCTCCTACACTAGCAGTCTGGAAATACCCAAAGCCAAAGGGGCACGTGGAATTCCCACAGGACACCTCTTGGGATTCAGTAGCCCACAAAGACCTCGTGTCAGAATATCTGCAGAGTGATCGTTGGCATGTGAGATGACGCCACATGCTTCCACTTCGGTTCCATTTTTGGGTGTGTCTGACATACTCTGCAGTTACAAGGGTCACCTTGTATAAGATTCTAGCGGCAGTGGCGGCGATGGCCCCAATCCACAGAACCAGTTACAATAAAGCTCAGTTACGGCACCCTGGCTGGAGTTTTGGCTTTTTTAATGTGTGTGTGTGTGTGTGTGTGTGTGTGTGTGCATGCGTGCACCTGTGGAGATCAGAGGTTAACATCAGGTATCAAGTCTCAGGAGCCAACTATCTTGGTGGTGGTTGTTATTGTTGTCGTTTTGAGATAATGTCTATCACCAGGACGCAGGGGGGTGGTTGATCACACTAGTGTTACCGGCTAGAGAGCCCCAAGGGTCATCCTATCTCCATTGCCCTATTACTCGGGACCAACTTTTTAAACAACGATGATGACGACAAAGTCCATGGGCTATGGGTTCAGATTCAGGGTCTCATGTTTGTGTAGCATCCATATTAACAAGTAAGCTATCCCTTCTGCCTCAAGGTCTCTTATTTTAAAAAAAAAGAATAAAAACAGAAGATAATGTTTTCAAGTTTTAATGAGTTTTCAAATCCTAGGGAATGACACATATATATATGTATGTGTGTATGTATATATGTATGTATATATGATATATATAGATATATATATGTGTGTGTGTATATGTACTTACACACACACACACAAACACACACACACACACACACACAGACGCACACACGTCTAACAGCATGAAGGTTCACGTATCCCTAGATGGCAAGACACTATTTTCATACTAGTCATCTTCAGGCACCATTAATTAAAGAAGATTTAAATTAGATTTGCAAAACCAAGAATACATATATACACATATATGCATATTCACACACACATGCACACACGCAAAATGTTTTAATGGAAAAGTTTTACTGGCTAGAGCTTAATTAAGCCAAGTAAGGAATTAAACTACCCAGAACACTTAGAGAATTGAAGACTCCTCTTAATTGAGATTTTTTTTTTTTCTAATCACCTTTGAGTAAATGAGCCTTGCAATGTGTTTGGAGCAGGGCTGTTGCTTTCTGTTGGGGGGGGGAGAGAGGGAGAGAGAAGGG